CCCCTTTTTATGCGCATGTGACTCAACTTCCTGTGTGTGTGTGTGTGTGTGTGTGTGTGTGTGTGTGTGTGTCTTTTATGTGTGCATGGGCTGTTTTGAACTGTGTTTGTGTGAGCTCTCAGCAGGGGTTGTGTGTATGAATTTCTCCGTCAAGGCTATTTTGTCCCTCTTCGTGTGTGTGTGTGTGTGTGTGTGTGTGTGTGTTTGTGGCTTATAAACGGCCTGTGTTGGTGTGTATCCTTATATTGTAGTGTTGCTAACAGATGACCAATAAAAGAGCACACACACTTTCTCTCTTGTGCATTAAACACCACATTTTTCTCTTTGTGTTGTGTGTTGTCTCAGCAGGGGTTCCACTGCTGCAATCCTGCTGATTGGTGTGTAAGGGCTGGGTTTAGTTACCATAGTAACTGCTGTATATTTTAGTCACCCCCCCAATACACACATACACATGTGCACACACACCCCAACATGGTATACCTGTCCATTATTACATATTCTGTCATTTCCTTCTCTTGATTTTCTGAGTGTGTTTGTCCTTCACTTGTTTCAGTATGATGGACAACAGCACACATAATTTCCCTCTACTAATCAGCATTTGTAAAGTTTTCTTTGCAGTTTAACTATTAAAACCATGACTGCACAGCGATAAGCTCAGAGCAGTCTTCAGGAACACACATTCAGAAGCTTCTGCAGAAAAACACTTGGTGGTGTTTGTGAATACATTTTTTTAAGAAAGTAACGAAAGTTTGACATTCTTTTGTGTAACATTTGTAGCATTAATGTATTTTATAATTTCTTATATAAAAATTACCATTTATCATATTATAGAATATTTATTAATTATTAACCCTTACTTAACCAGGCAAGTCATTACAATCAGATGTATTTTGCAGGGGAGGCCTGGGCCTGAAGCAACATAAAGGGGACATCTCATGTAAAATCCATGTTTTAAACCATTACAAAACATTTTGTGTATATGGAGTCTCTAGGAGTGCAGAAAAGTTAAAATTAGTCTGTCCCAGTGCTGCTTAGATACCTTTTTATATTTTGTTTGAGTCATATTTTTCAACCTGTTTCATTTTCTCTATTTTCTATGATGTTTTGTGAACTACTGTATTACGTCAACGTTTTTGCGATTGAACAGACAAGGTCTGGATTTACCAACTACAGTTTGGTCATCTTCATTCTCCTCTCTGGGTCTGACTCGGACTCCAACATGTGAAGCTGGAAGGACAAGTCTTCCCTTGTTGACATATTTTAATTAATTTGTAAATAAACCATTTTTGCGTTGCTATATAGTTGTAAACCCCTCTATCAAACTAGAATGGACCGCTCTGGAAGCTGGAGAAGGGCGATGCGTGAAGTGCCTAGTTTGAATTTAAAGAGGTGGTCTCTGTTGAGGCACACTTCAGATAAAGTATGAAAGAGGGGCTTGTGGAGCTGCAATAAGGAGGAATTTGTACCAAAGCACTGAAGTTCCATTTTATAGACCCCAGCTGAATGATCCAACTCTAAAGTATAGCTGTGCTTTACAGATCTATTTTATATCATTTTGATGTTTTATACAGATACTGTGTCTGGAGCCACTTAGGGTTTTTTTTCAGTGTGTTTTGGTGGACGGAGCATAACCATAAGAGGGACAAATATTAATTTCCCGACTCTAATTACACAAATGTTATAATTTGCTGTATATTTTCTGTGAAAAAAAAACTTAGGTTAATTTTTGCTTAATACATTTTTGTTATTATTGGTGCACAAAGTTGTCACCTTTTCTCCATCCCACAAATCAAACTTGTGTCTCATGAAAGAAGTCTGAATTAAATCAGAGAAGGCACCTACAGCACCCACCTGAAATGAGTTTTTTTTTTTGTTTGTTTTCCTGGTAAAATTAGACAGACGGATACAAAGCTTTCTGGGTTGGATGTCTAGTCTGATTTGTGATAATCTGCAAAAAAATACTCAAGATTATTGACAAAGATAGTGGGKGGGGGGGGGGGGATCTGTGGAGTAATTTTAAAAGATTTAGAGAAAGGGCAAATATGTTTTAACTGATGTACTTGAAAAAATCCAGGCATTGTTGGAGCATTTAAACACATGACAGGACTGCAGCTGTAACCACTGACATCTCACAGCCATATACATTCCAAAGCCCTAGAACTGCTTAAATAAGGATCATGTTGGTTAAGATGTCCCTTTTTTACTTGTCTTCTGTCCTCAGTTTTCTGTCTTCTTCTGTTCTGTCCGCTCTGTCTGCTCTACATAGATTTTTAAACAGGATATCCTCTGTTGGACACAATATGCTTTACTGCAGCTATTCCTGCATTTGATGAGCTCACAGGTGGTCTAGTGTTAGTGGTCATATCAATGCACCAAAACCAGCACAGTGTGTTACTGTTGGGTGGAATATTTTATGTCCCAATGGAACTCAAGTTGGAGCTGCCTGTTCCCATCATTGGGAGATGTGACAAATAATATGATAAATCCACTAACAAACGTTGGGCAGTGACCTTTACTGCCCCATAACAGTAAACAAGTTTAAAGAACTGACAACGAATCACTAAAAACAAAACATTCATTTGACTTCATTCAAAATGATCAAATTAATTGAAAAACACAAAACTAAACGATTGCAAGCTAAGTAAATGAGTAATTTACATTGTTTATTAGGAGGGACTGCAGAGCGAATTAATTATTAGATTTTTTAGGTGCACCTGCCCTAATGAACTGGCCAGACCTGCTTAACAAGCTTTTAAATTTTGTGGCCCACCTACCTGATTTAGTTGTGCAATCATTTCTGGCTATGTCACTACTTTACTGGAACCATTTTAGATTTTACACGGTTACCAATTAGAATTCAAAAACATTTGCCTATTTTGGATTTTTTTTTTATCTCTGCTTTACTGTAAAGATGTTTTTAATGCTCATTTACTGATTCACACACAACACACGCACACATGCACACACACATAAAAGTTTATTGTTTAATCTGTTAGAACAAGACATTTTGTGTTGTTGTTTTGCTCAGCTGTGAACAGCTTGAGACGCCCTGGTGTCCCAACTTCTTACTTAACTTTTTAAAGGGTAATAGTTTCAAATGATTTTGCCTTAAACATTTTATTATTTAGCTGGGCAACCATATAGCAAACAGATAATGTGCTACACTCAAAGTTGTACAAAGTTGGCAAACTTTCAGTGATGTGCCAATTTTATTAGATACAGCATACAAATTGGGCTACAATATACAATGATAGAAATTAGTTTTTATTTTTTGTATATTATATCTTTATGTTGAGTTGACTTCTTTTTAAAAAATAAACTTTTCTTACATTTTCAGGCTGTTTCATTGCTGTTGGACCTGCTGAGGGAAAATCTCAGGAATAATAAACTGAAGCAGTTGGTGCTTCCACCACTTGGGGAGCTTCTCTACCTCATTTCATCTCAGGTACTACATATCCTCATGGTGCATGTCCGCTTTAAGAGACATGGTTAAATTTTATTTAAGGTTTTTCATCCTAAAAGAAACTACTGTAAGTCATTATACACATCTCTAACCAGGTAAAAACAATACACAATTCACATGAATAACTCTAAATAAAAACTGAGCCAAATCAGGGTAATTAGAAAATTAAGGGTAACTAGAAAGAAAATCGTGTCATTGCATTATCATTTCAGACAAAATGTACATCATCCTTTCATGTTTTCCAATAGATTTTTTTATATCCAATCATATTTCTAAAGAAAACATGTCATTCATTTGTTAGAACTGTTCAAAAGAAATGCCATCCAAGCTGATGTACAGAAAAATGTAAATATTTTTGTACTCTATGCTATAATTACTTGCTTAGAAAGTTATTGCAACAGTAAATTTGATTTGTAATTGCAAAGGTGTGGAGGTGACACCATAAAATTGATGGGTAAGATCTTAGTTTATTAAATCTTTAATTTTCTTATATAAAATAAAAGGAAAAACAATGTGTTGCAAAGTATTCACAATCTTAGTATTTTTATTTGGTTGCCTTACAGCATAAAATTTATCTGGTTTTAAATTTGACTATAAGTATTTTTTTCTACAAAAGTACTTCAAATTATTGAAGTTAAATAGAACAAAAATGGCATCAAGTCTCCGGCCAAACATATTTCCTTCCTTCCTTCCATCCATCCATCCATCCATCCATCCATCCATCCATCCATCCATCCATCCATCCATCCATCCATCCATCCATCCATCCATCCATCCTGACCAGTTTTCCAGATGCTGCCAATAGAAAATGACACTACAGCATGATGCTGCCACCACCATGCTTCAGTGTAAGGCATATTGTTCTTACCATGATGAGAGGTGATAGATTTACAGCAGATATTACATTGTTCTTGATGACAAAAATAATAATAAAAATAATAAGTTTTAGTCTCATTTGACCACAGAACCTTCTTCTATGCGACTGTGGAAAAAGACTCCTAACAGCTGCCTTATCTTTTAAAGCTATGTTTTGTTTCTGGACACACTTTCATGAAGCCCGGCTCTGTGCAGCTTAAAGTGATCTTTGGGACAAATAGTCTCCTCTCTGTTGAAGAGTTGACAGCTCCATCAGGGTTGTCTTTAGCCTTTTGCTGCTTCTCTGATCAACGGACCTCTTTGCCTAGTTTGAGTTTTGGTGGATGATCCTCTTTTGGTGAGCTTCTTGTGGCGACAGTCTTTTCTATTTCAAACAATAGATTTAATAGTGCTCCATGGAATGTTTTTGTGTTTTATACACATTTTTTTAATCTTCCAAACGTGACCCGTACTTCTCTATACTTGGTATGAAACCTTCGTAGTTATTTTTTGGGTATTTGTGTTGCCTTTTGCTTGGCAGTACAACTTACTACTTATAAGTATTGCACTGGGATGGATTATGGGGTCTGTTACAGCAGCTGTAGATTATGTGACACATGAATGGCTCATAGGTGGCTCTTGTTTAAACAATTGCGAAAGTAATAATTGGCTCTTGGTTAATTTTGGCCCCTTTTGCAAAAGGGATTTAGCCCCTTCAGTTAGAACGTCTCCCAGCTTTAAAGGGATCAACAATTAGTTGTAACATTAGACTTTATTTGATAAAAAATTATTATAACTGTAAAATAAAGACTTAAAAATACTGTAGTCTGTTTAGTTTTGTAAATTTTTAAACATATTCTAACACGGACGGAGCCATTTTATTTACACACAAAGAATTCTGGGTAAATTATGACGTGGATAGGTCCTCGGTGCTAGGCTGCTAGCGAGCTATATCCACCCTGAAGGTTAATCTTAGACAATACAGTATCTGACGATCGACTCGTTTAAATGAAACCAGAGAGCGTTGACAGAGGAGAAGGTAGAAATGACTCAGTCTACAACTGAAAATGTCGATGGAGGACAACAGAGCTGCTTCTTGGTAGAAGAAGGTTATATAGAAGGTTATATATACATACAGTGGGGAGAACAAGTATTTGATACACTGTTGATTTTTCAGGTTTTCCCACTTGCAAAGCTTGTAGATGACTGTAATTTTTATCATAGGTACTCTCAAATAATTAATTTCCATTTTATTGTGTGAAATAAGTATTTGATCATCTATCAAC